CGGGGTGTCCTCCCAGCACAGAAAATTGCACAGCAAAGTCAAATTTGGGGAGCTGGGAATAGCTCTGGTCACTGCTCCTGCTTAGGGGAGTGTGGGGGTTGAAGTGTTTTTGTACCTGGAGGAGAGTGGGATTCAGAACCATGGAATTCCAGCATGGTTTGGGATGGAAGGGACCTTAAAGATTCTCTAATCCTCACCTCCCACCATCCCAGGCTGCTCCAAAACCCCATCCAGCCTGGCCTGGGACACTTCCAGGGATCCAGGGGCAGCCCCAGCTTCTCTGGGCACCTCTGCCAGGGCCTCCCCACCCTCCCAGGGAACAATTCCTCCCCAATATCCCACCTAACCCTGCTCTTTTTCCTAAAAAAAATTTAAATACTTTCCACTGCTGAAACAGTTCTGTGATTTTTTAGCTTTTTTCAGTCCTGTTTCTCCCCAGTCCAAAGTTTATCTGATTAGATGGTGAGGATCCTGTGGTGGAGGTGGAATGGGAGCTGAGGCAGGACCCTGCAGAAATAAAAAGTTACTTTGAGGTGTCTTTTGCAAAAATAAGCAATTGCTGGGTATGATTTGCTCATAATGGCCCTGAATAGCAACATGAGCCACAGCAAGGCTGGGCTGAGACATGAGCAACTTCCCCTGCCCCAGGGCCCCCAGTATTGGATACATTTTCTGATTTTATTGCACTACAGAAGGTTAATTCTCAATTAATCCAGAATAGCAGGGACATTTTTTTACCTGTTTTAGCCTTTCTACAGTAAAAAAGCCACTGCAGCTTTCAGCAATAAGGGAAACTCTGGCCTGCTTTTGATGAAACCTCATCTGCTCCCTCCTTAATCAGGATAAAACCACTCAAACCCCCAAATTTCTGAACTGAAAACCTGAGCAAGCCCTGAACTGTTGCCAGGAGCTCTCCAAATCCTATTTCTGTGTTGCAGCCTGAGAGATTAAAGGGTGGATTGTCTCGATAAGAGACATGACAAGGTGTCCATGGGACATCCTGGGTGACCTTGGTGGGGCAGGAGCTCACCAGGCCCTTGTCCCTTCCCCACCCTGGGCTGGCCAAGGATTGCATCCCTTGGGATGCTTGGGAAAGTGGAACCAGGTCCCTGCAGAGCAGCACCAGCCCATTCCAGCAGCCTCCACCCTGCAGAAAAGCTGAAATCACACAATCATTAAGGTTGGGAAAAGCCTCCAAGCATGGGAATAAACCCCACAGACTCCATGTCCTTCCTGGTGGAAAAAGCCCCTTCTTTATTCCCAGAACTCCTTTTTACCCAGTGTTACAGACCTGGTGCGTGGCTCCAACTGGTCAGGAGCTTCCTTGCCAATTCCTTTATTGGTCAGTAACAAGTTATTATTCTGTATTTCCTGGTCACTCAAACTCCTGCTGCAGGAAAAGTTGTTTGTGAGTGATAGTTTTCATTTTTCTAAGGGTGTAAAAGCAATTTCTACAGGTGTAAGTTGTTTCTCACCCAGCAGTGAGCAAAACCAGCTTGTACAGGTGTAAGTTGATTTTCACCCAGCGCTGGATTGTTGTGTTAACAACCTGCTCAGCCCAGGATTGCTTTCACATGGGAGCCTGCAAAGTGCTGGCTTTGCTCAGGAGCAATGGCAGGCTGGCTGCTGATGGAACAAGTTTGATTTTTATAAATCCTTTCTTTATGATTTTCCTACCTTACTGCCACATCCAAGTTTCCAACCTTTGGCCACTTCCCTGTTGTTTAGATTCCAGCCCCTCAGTCGAGGGGGTCTGTCCAACCAGCTCCTTTTATCCACAGCCTTCTTGGAAATACCCCGGTGAGGGTTTTTTTTTTTATTTTTGGAGCATTTGGAACTTTACATTTCTAAGCAGCACTTCTAAAGGGAATGTTCTGCATGAGGGTACTTAAGGGAATATTTTCCAGGACTATATTTATGCCTCCGTAGTCTTCCTTTAGTGGTCTTGAAGGAAGGAGCTGTTATTACTGTTAAATATAGATGTAATGTGGTGTTATTGCAGAAATGTCTTTATGTTCCATTTCTGGCTTTAAAAAAATCCCTTTTCTTATTAAAATCAGTCAGGTCTATAACATTTATTATGTTTTAACATGTTGGCATAATGTTAGTGTTGGGAATAAGGCAGGATTGACACTTGATTCCAGATTAAATCTCCTAATGATGTTGCTACAGCAGTCATTGGTGCCATCCTATATTTGAATTTAGGATTGTTGCTTTTTCCTGGTGTATTTACTATTTAAATCCCATATTCCATGTTTGTCTCACCTTAATAAATGTCCAGTCTCAAGTGTTAAGTCTCACCTGGTCAGCTTGAAAAAACTATTTTGGGGGGAATGACCTAACTTCTGTCATGAGAGAAAAATCTCTGAGGGGAATTATTCCTGAGGATATCCAGATTGTTTCAAAGGTATTCAGAGATCAGTCACTGCTGCTGGCTTTTCCCTTTTTATTACCCAATTTTTTGGTGGGATGATTATTTTAATTCAATCGAAATGCAGGAGGTTTGCATTTTTATGGATATTACCAAAGCCTAGAAGCAGCTTCCTTCACATGAAATCCATTCAGTTTTCTAAACAATTTTTAAAGGGCATTAATTTAGTCATCTGCTGATAGTTCTGAACAGAAGCATATGTGAAAATATTCAGTGAAAAGATGCATCCCTTAATTCACCCAAACTCCACATCAACTATTTAACAGCACTTGCACTCTTGCAGCTTTTAAGATGTAGCTCAATTACATCCACGTATAAATAGAAAATGCTGGCAGGATTCTCTTTGCTCTGAGCCTTATTTTGATGGTTCCATTGACATTTAAAACTTTGATTTGAAGCTCTGGAAATGGCTGCAGCTGTAAACATCTCCCTGAGTTACTGCCCCAGGCTGGAGAGGATGGCTCACGTGTTTCCCACATCTTTATCTTTCAGGCTGTTTGATTGGAGCCAAGGAGTCAGCAAAGAACCTCAGGAAGACAACCTGGATCATGACCAGAAGATAAAAAGAAAACAAAAAAAGAATGTGGCATATAAAGGGTGTAATACCTGGAGGTATTGGATCTGACTCATGTTTATAAAAATGAGACGAGCTTTCACAAAACACAAGTTATCTTAGACAGTCATCAAGCTTGGAGCCATCATGCTGTTGAACTAGAAATTCTCCTTTTCCCCATTCTCCTTTCTGACAGGTAACAAAGGATTGGTGAATTATGATTTTCCCAAGTTGGAAGCACTAATTTTTATCTATATAGTTCATCCTTATGAATATATAAGGAGTTAAACATTGCATATTTAATGTGGATTATAATGGGAAAGTGACTCATTAACCAAAATGGCCACTTTTAAGGACTTGGTTTCAAACTGAGCTGGAGCCTCCCGATGCACTTTGTAGGATTTGGGGAAAGCTGTGCTGCAGGGCCTGCTTTGGGAGGCCAGGATGACATGTAGTAAAAGGATATCACCTTGCTGTTGATATCTCTGAAGACTCATAACCAGAAACAGGAAAATGAATGGTGGGAAGGAGTGTGACGGAGGGGACACGGATGGAGGGCCACCAGCAGTGCAAGTTCCCGTTGGTTGGCAGCGGAGGGTGGACCAAAGTGGAGTTCTCTACATCAGGTAAGGTCACCTCAGGGGCTGGGCTGGTGTTTGGTGGAGTTTGGCCAGAATGTGCTGGAAATTCCTGACCCGGTTCCTTCCTTCTGCTCAAAAACTTCAAGGAGCTGTTCCTCAAGTGCGAGATCGTCTCGGAAGCTGAAGGAGGGGAGATTTGGGGGGGTATTGGGAAGGAATTCCTGGCTGGGAGGGTGGGGAGGGGCTGGGATGGAATTCCCAGAGAAGCTGGGGTTGTCCCTGGATGCTGGGAGTGTCCCAGGCCAGGCTGGATGGGGCTTGGAGCAGCCTGGGACAGTGGAAATGTCCCTGAGCAAGGGTTGGAACTGGATGAGCTTTAGATCCCTTCCATCCCAAACCATTCCAGGATTTTGTGATTCTTTTCCAAGAAAATTTAAGTCATGTCACTACTCAGTCGCTCCAAACCCATTTTTATGCCCATGAAGGTTCTGTGTTCACTATCACTGATGTTCCCTAGCTTTTATGGATCCCTTACATCTCTCATGTGGGGAAAAAACCCAAGAACATAAACCTAAATCCAAAGCTTTAGATACTTTATTTGTTTATTTTCTTAGTTTATTGGATTTTTTTTTTTTTGCTTCCCCCTGGAATGGTCACAAAGTAATGCATTGAAATTGCTATGAAATAAATGTGTTCAGACAAAGAGAGCCTAAATTAAATGTTATTGGAAAAACATATCAAAGTTAGCTTTATAAAATGTGGGGGCATTGGGTTTGCATCACACAAATTCGTGCTTATCACTCAGTTATTTGCTTAAATTTCTTCCAGTGTTCTGTGATTAAAATCACCACTTCTCCCAACATTTTGTGCATTACCAATACAAAAGTCTTTAACGAGCCAGAGCACACTCCAGTTTCACACTAAATTACCATGAAGGATCAGAGGCATTGCAGGATTTCTTGTTTGTGTTCTCCATCAGCAGAGCCAAACCCAGTCCATGTCAGTGACACCCACGGCACAGAGGAACCACCCTGCCCTTGTATTTCTCATCAGCTCTAATTCCTTGGGCCTCTGCCTCATTCATAGACCAATGGGAAAGGAAAAGTTGTGGATTAGGGTTTTTTTCCCCAATAATCTCTGTATCCAGACATCAGGAAAATAATGCTTTGATGTTTTTGTGTACCTGACGATCCCACTCAGCTCTTGAACTTCATTTCCACAGCCCTACCAAGTTTTGCACAGCAGCTTTGGGGAAGCTCATGTTATTCCTGCCCTCTTCCCAA